ATGATTTGAGTCTTTTTTCTTGAGAGATTTTTTTGCTATAGGACCTGTGCACTCACCAGACAGACAGAAAGCGAGAAATTACCCCCTGGAGGTGGAAGATGGCTATGCCACAGTTCCTTCTCCTCTTTTCTCCTCTCCAGATTTTGGGCATGTGTGCACATGCGCCCGACATGAGTTTTAAGCTGCCAGGTCTGGGACTTGAACCACAGTCAACTACGTGGGAGTCCAGGAATGTAACCATTATGCCACCTGCTGGTCCTTTGAGTCATATTTTAATAGTAATGGTGTTTTAATAATACCATTTTGATATGGTAAGGACTTATAACCTGCATATTTCCCCATCATTTATCTTTTCTCTTTTGTATTTGTGTCCTCCTCAGTTCATCATAGGAGGTATATCATTACTGATGATGTTAACTGCCCATCATTTGATTAAGGAATTTGCCAGGTTTTTCTATTTCCCCCCTTTAGTAGGTACTTTGAGACTATGTAAATCCGATTTCTCATCAAACTTTGATCCCAATTTTAGCAGTCATTGATGAGTCTTGTCTTCAGTGATTTTTTTTTTTAGAATTATTTTAATTAATTATTAAAATTTGACCAGAGAGGGACAGAGTTGGGGAGAAAGAGAGAGAAAGAGGGAAAGTAAGAAAGCAAACTGCCAGGTCTGGGACTCAAACCATGGTCAGCCATGTGGGAGTCCAGTACCCTTAACTACCATGCCACCTGCTGGCTCCATTTTATTTATTATTATTTTTAAAAATTGCTATAGTTATCATAGAAAGAGAGAGACAGAAAGAGGGAAAGTAAGAAAGCAAACTGCCAGGTCTGGGACTCAAACCATGGTCAGCCATGTGGGAGTCCAGCACCCCAACCACCATGCCACCTGCTGGCCCCAGCCACACCACAATCCCGTCTCCTCTCAGGATCTTGGACATGCATACACATATGTGCATGCGCGCATGCACACACACACACACACACACACACACACACAACATGTTTTCCAAATGCTGTTTTCCAGCTCCATCATTTAATCTTTAGTTGATATTTGGAATTCTGGAACCAGCAGATGGCATAATGGAATTCCACATATGTCACTGGAATCCCACATAGTCAACTGCTATTTGAGTCCTGGACCAGGCTGTTTAAAACTCAGGCCAGGTGTGTGTGTGTGTGTGTGTGTGCGCACACACACATGTGCATGCGTGCCCAAGATCCTGAGAGGAGCAGGGATTGTAGTGTGACCATCCCCCTTGGGGGACGATTTCTCGCTTTTGGTCTGTCTTCCCTATGGCAAAAAACTCAAAAAAAAAGAAAGAACTTGGAATTCTAGAAGAAAGGCTTTCCATTTTTTTATGTTAGTATTTCGTGTATTATTTTATTCTATAGGTTATACGTTCTGTTACTATCTTATTTATTTTAATTCATAAATTGTCCCAGTTTAGGCCAGTGTTAGCCGCTTGCAATTGGTGTTTTATTTCAGTGTGCCAGAGGGTCTCTGTACTTGCCAGAGAGAGAGAGAGAGACGAGGGATTGGGCGAGTGTAGAAAACACTCCCCACCCCAGCCCCTGTGGAGGATGGTCATGCTGTAATGCCTTTTCCTTCTTTTGGGATTTTAGGCATGCGTGCATACATACCTAGCATGTTTATTAAGCTGGGACTCACATGCATGGTCGGCCACGTGGCATCCAGCTGCCTTAACCATCATGCGACAGGCTGACCCTGGTTCTAGGATTTCTGCTTGATTCTTTTTCTTTTTCCCCTTTCATCTACTTTTTTTTTCTTTTTGCTCTAGGGTGTGTACTGACTGGAGAGACAGAGAGACAAAGAGAGGGAAAGTGAGAAATCATCCCCTGGGGGGATGGTCATGCTGCAAGCTTTTCTCCCCTGTTCTCTTAGGATTTTGGGCACACCTGCACACATGTCTGGTGTGATTTTTTAGGCCACCATCTCTGAGACTCAAACCATGAGTTGGCCATGTAGGATCCAGTGCCTTAAGGACCATGCTACCTTCTAGCCCCTTATGTCCTTTTTTAATGAGAGAGAGAGAAAGAAAGAAAGAGAGAGCCAGGTATTTTTTTATTTTTTTGAGAGGTTTTTGCTATAAGGCGCATGTGCTCACCAGACAGACAGAGAGACAGAAAGCGAGAAATCACCCCCCAGAGGGGATGACCACGCCGCAATCCCTTCTCCTCCATTCTCCTCTCTGGATCTTGGGCACACACGCACATGTACCCGGCATGAGTTTTAAGCCACCGGGTCCAGGATGCAAACCACAGTTGACTACAGGGGAGTCCAGTGACATAGCCATTACGCTAACTGCTGGTCCCAGAGCCCAGTGCTTTTGACAGGATCTGGCCATGCTGCCTTCCAGGGCCCCCCAGATCACAGGCACATACTGCCATTCCCAGAGTGTTCAGCCCAGAGTTGTGCAGCCTCAGCATTACACAGCCCCAGCATTGTGCAGTGGCACCCCACTACCCATGCCTCCACTGCTGGGCCATTTAATTTAACTTTTAAAATAGATTGCATTTATCAGGTGAAGTTTTATTTAGCACTTTTTTTTTTAATACCCAAGCACACATGTGCATGCTATCTCCCCCTCCCTCCCTACAACAGGGCTTGGTCACAATTCTTTTTCCTTCATTCCCCATCCAATCAGGATCCTGAACACAGGCACCTGCACCCAGCAGGTTTTCTCAAACCTCTGAGACTCAAGCCTGGTCAGTTTTGTAAGATCTGGTTTCTTCTGTATTGTGCTTAACTGCTTTGGGACTGACCCAGGTGAAATTCTTGATAATTTGTGTTTTTTTTTAACATATTAATCATAAATTATTTCATGTCTATGTCTGAAAACTCCAGGTATGTGGCACATATATGTCTATTTCAGTACCATTTCTCCCTCTGCTTTTTTCAAATGTAGGAAAGCAATCTCATAGTCTGTTTATAAAGGTATGGAAACAATACTCTTAGATTCCCTGAAATGTAGTTACTTGATCTGTTTTTATCAGTCAGTATGTTGCTATTTTTTTTGGTAGTAGATAGCCCCCACATCTCTGTGGTTTATAACAGCAAAGGCTTATTTTTTCTCATGCCACATTTCAGTTCCTGAATAACTGCACTATGTGTCATGTGTCAGTCTTAGTGTGGTGTCCAGGCTGGAAGAGGAGCCCCCATCAGAGGTGTATGGACCTCATGACCATTCTATTTCTGTTCAGTCTATTGGTTAGAGCAAGTCATGTGGCCAAGCCTGCAGTTAATAATGTGGGAAAGAGTATTACTTCCCTGTGGAGGGATTACAAGTTTTGTGTCAAGGGTAGGAACGTATAATTCTTTTTCAGCAAGGGAGGAGTGACTAATTTGGGACAATTATACATTTTATCATATTATCTTAAAGAAAAAGCTACCAGTTTTATAAAAAGCTGTATGTGCATGAAGATGTGAATGCAAATTGTTAATGATAAAATATAATGAAAAATAGGAACTTTGTTGTTGATATTCAGTGAAATGTTTATTAAAATGATAATTAAAAAAAATAATGGTTTATTTAATTTTATTTATTCATTTTATTTTAATTTGACCAAAGAACACAGAGAGAAAAAGAGAGAAAGTGAGAAAGCAAGCCACCAGGTCAGAGACTTGAACCGTGGTCAACCATGTGGGAGAGTCTAGTGCCTTAACCACCACGCCACCTGCTGGTCCCTAAAAATGATCATTTTAATACCTAGAAATATAACAAAATGTATTTACTATAATGTTAAATGAAAGAGCAATGTACAGAGTTTGTGCACCCACTGAGCACAGGTGTGTACACACAATCATAAATTAGTAAGCAAATTAAAGATATAAAATTGATAATTATTTTAGGATGATAGTATTTATGAAGATTTTTCAGACTGAATTTGTTTTATGCTAGAGTGTACGTGTATATGCATGTGAGACAGCGAGAGAGACAAAGAGCACCCTCTCAGCGGGGCCTGGTTATGCTACAGTTTGTTTTCTCTAGTTCTCCATCCTGTCTGGATCCTAGGCACACATGCCTGGTGTGTTTTTCAAGTTGTCAGGACTAAGACTGGTCGGCTGTGTGGGACCCAGCTACCTCTGTGTAGTGCCTAACTGCTATGCTACAGGGCTAAACCCAGACTTAAATTTTTTTGGTACTGTTATTTTATACTTTAAAATCATTTTCTCTATATAAGTTAGTTTCTCTCTTAAAGTCATACATGTATATCAGAGAAACATTAGAGAATATACAAAAAGGGATCAGAAATAAATTCAGAGTTGGCTCAGGTATGGTGAAAATGTGCTGTTCAGGGGAAGCCAAGTCCCACACGGCAGTTATGGTTTGAACCCCCTGCCTGGTCAGCTGGAAACACGCCAGGCATGTGTGTGAGTGCTCACGATCTGATGGATTGGAGGAATGGGGTTGTGGCATGACTAGAAACTGTAGAGAGTGCTCCTCCCTCTCTGTTTCTCTCATACATATGCACATGCCTTCTCATGAATAAGGAAAAAAAACAAAACCAGGACCCATATCCCAGAACTGGCAGTTACCTTTTTTTTTTCCCCAGTTTTGCTGTAGGGTACGTGCTTATTGGAGAGAGACACAATCTCTTATCTACTCTTCTCTCAGGATTTTGGATATGGAAGCACACATGCCAGCCATGTTTTTCAAGCTGACAGTTCTAGAACTTGAATTGGACAGTCAGGCATGTGAGATCCAGCCAACTTCACCCCATGCCACCTGGCTGGCCCATACCAGTTACTGTTTTTTTATTTTAAGAGAGATTTTTGCTATAGGGCACGTGTGCTCTTCAGAAAGACAGGAGAGACAGAGAGACAGAAATCACCTCCCAGGGGAAATGACCATACCATGGTCCCTTCTCCTCTTGGGATGTTGGGCATGCATGCCCACATGCCTGGCATGAGTTTAAAAAAATTAATATGTTAAAAATAAATTGCCAGATTGACCTTGTGCTGTCGTGTTTCATTTTAGGTCCTGAAAATCCTTGGTTGGTTCAAGCTTACGTTTCAGCAGCTAAACATCCTTTTGCTTCTGTGGTGGCTCAGGAGGTTTTTCAGAGTGGAATCATTCCTTCAGATACTGACTTCCGGATCTACAGGGATTTTGGAAACATTCCAGGTATTTGTTGATGGTTTTGGGTTATTGTGCAGTGTAGATTTAGCAAAAGCAAGCTTCTTGAATTAACAGTATTTTCTGATAGCATATTCTGTATGCAAGAGCTGTACATCTGACTCATTTGAACAGTTCCTAATGCTTTCCTTTTTCAAACCCCACACTAATTTAAATGCTTGCCTTCTCTAGAATATGTCATCTTGCCCCACAGTGTGACAGAGGAACAGGGGAGAACTGTTTAGCACATCATTCCCAAAAGATGGTAATAGATCTTTCAGGAGTCTGACTTCTGGTGTTGTCTTGATTTGCCAAATCCCTTAGCTACTCGTATAGTGTATTTGAAAGTATAATTTGGCCTTGGCCTGGTGAGGATGTAGATGGCCAAGTTTTGATGACTTCCCAAACTCAATATTCCTACCCTTTGCTGTGTGGCTTGTACTGCCTCCCTGTGTAGTAGTAGATTTCCTTGACCATATATTGAAGTAGCTATAGTTCTGTAAGAATATGGAAGAGAATTTATGTAATTCATTCATAAATGTCACAAAACAATTATGGCACTGCTTTGACATTTTATCTTTTGGGAATTTAATACATTAAACAAATATACCTAAAACACAGTTGATCTTTAAAGCAAAATGACTTTTTTTTTCTATATGTCCTAGGAATAGACTTAGCATTTATTGAGAATGGATACATTTATCATACCAAGTATGACACTGCAGACAGAATTCTAACAGATTCCATTCAGAGAGCAGGTTGGTATTCTATTTCTTTTTCCTCCTTTTTTACTTTAAAACAAACCCTGGTGTCAGGGAATGCTTTCAATAGAGTGCAGTGAGGGAACAGAGCTGCTTTGCTGCATATGAGACCCTGACCCAGAGGTAGGTCCTCTGTGTCTATGAATGGTTTAATACCACATTTCCCCCACAAATATGATGGGTAAAGGGATAGCCCCCTTTCTGGCCATGCCCTATTTCCCAGGATGAAGGACTCTATGCACTGGATTGGTACTGTAATTTAGACTTTTAAACTATGGTCTGATAAAATACTAGGGATGAACTAGAAACCTGTAAATATTCTTTGGCCAATGTGTTAGGGAGACAGAATGAGGTATGAATGAGCTATGAGGTATGGGCTTTGGGGCTGAAGAGATATGGCCTTGAACTTTAGGCTTGTAGTTCAGTTTAGCAATTAAGAACGTAGGAACATTCATTGTGAGGAACTAGAAAGGGAGCTGACCCAGAGTTATCCTCTGAACAAAAAGAAGATAGCCAAAGTGAAAGCTATAAATTGAACGTGGCACCAGGGCATGTATTTGGGCAGCTTGCCAGATGCAGAAAACATTGGCATTGATTCATGGCTGGGTAGTGAGGGCAGGCGAGGGGGTGAAAGCGTAAGTGCTTAAGGAGAACACAGGGCCAAGGGAGTGAAAGTATTTTCCAGACAGATCTGGAATAGTCAGAAGAGTGTCTAATGTCTGATGTCCAATGCTGCCTTCAAGAGTTGGTAGGATTTGGCCTGTGGAGAAGAGAGGACGTTCTAGGCCAGAGCGTAGCTTGAATATGATATATTTGTGTGTGGGAGGCTGTTGTTGAGTAGACTGCCAGACTGGAATTAAAGTAGTACTGTCAGAGATGGGGGAAATAAGGTCGAAGTATAGGGGGCAGAGAAAATTAAAAAAGGTTTTAAAAATCATAAGAAGGTGTTTTAGGGATAAGGGATTACCGAAGGCCTGAATCCATGAATAAAATTATTTTAAACACTGTTAGTTTGGTGATATAGTATGGAGTGGATGGTATACGGAGAGAGATAGGCCTCAGGTATTCTGACAGTAATTTAAGTATGGAATAATGAGGACCTAGACTGCTCTTGAGAAAAAGCAAAGAGAAAGGGAAAGGATGAAAGATTAGATACATTTGGAATACAAATTCAGCAAGGTGCAATAGGTTGGATAGACAGGATGACTCAAGTCAGCCCTCAGTGAAGATAATTGTACAGGATATAGAGTGAGCTGGCTGGGGAAAGGATGTGCCATTGACCCTGGTGGGGAGGTGGGAAGATGACCCTCATGCAGGGTGGCGGTGCAGAGGGGAAGGAGACTGAGTTCTGTCAGACATGCGGTGGGTGGGTGGAGGGGGTCCTGTAAACCACCCTGAGGACAAGAGATAGAGAGGTAGAGCTGTGGGCAGAACTGGGTATATAGCCTTGAGAATGGAAGGCATAGGCAGGACAGCACAGGAATGGAGCATGGAAAGGTTTTCTGGAAGAGTGAAGCAAAGGTAGAGGACCATGACTGAGCCTTGGGGAAAACCCTTTTTTTTTTTTTTTGCTATAGGGCGCGTGCACTCGCCAGACAGACAGAGAGAGACAGAGAGATAGAAAGCGAGAAATCACCCCCCAGGGGGGATGGCCACGCTGCAATCCCTTCTCCTCCATTCTCTTCTTGGGATCTTGGGCACACACGCACACGCGCCCAGCGTGAGTTTAAGCCACCGGGTCCGGGACTCGAACCGTGGTCGACTACGTGGGACTCCAGCGACATAGCCATTACACTAACTGCTGGTCCTGGGAAAACACATTTTAAGGTAGATAGGGAAGCCAGTGAAAAATATCTGGTGGTAAGAATGTAGTGTCCTAAGTGAAAATGAAAGTCAAGGATAGGAGAAGCAGCAGGACGAAAAGCAGATCATTCAAGAGCTTCGTATGATTGTTCTGCGTTCAAGTCTAAACTCACTAATTCAGTGATGTAACAGATATTTATCACATCTTTGATGTGCCAGATCATGTCTGACAGACTCTTCCTGCCTCTCCAGCTTCATTTCTGAGTACTCTCTCCCCACATTCAGGACTTTTTTGATATATCTTCTAAGGTTATTTACTTCTTCCATGAGAGAGCGAGAAAGAGAGAAGGAGGGAGGGAGGGACAAGAAGCTCCTTGGCAAGACCTCACGCTGTGATTCTCACCCCTTCCTAGCCAGCCGGGATCATGAATGTGCATGCACAGAATATACAGGTGGCTGGGAATTGAACCCATGATCTTCCATGTGGCTCCAGCATTGCTTGAGCAGCGTATTACCACTACACCACCAAACTTGCCCTCAGTCTTTTTCAGTATTTGGAACTTGGGGTCTTCATCTAGACAGTTCTTGCAATCTGAACAGTTGCCTCTGTGGTGGTTATGGCCTATTCATTCTTTAGCTATAAATATCATTCCTTCCCAGGGCTGCTTCCCTGACTTCTCAGACTCTTAGTCTCCCATTGTATGCTCCCACAGGACTCTACTACCTATCCTTATTAGTTCTTTTTAGTGTGGCTACTTCTTTTCTTTTTAAAAAAAGTTTATTTCTTCTATGAGGAGGAGAGAGAGAACAGCTCCAAAAGTGTTTTTATTTTTATTTTTTAAGAGAGATTTTTGCTATAGGGATGTGTGTTCACCAGAGAGAGAGAAAGTGAGAAATCACCCCCTTCCCCAGGGGGGATGGCCACACCACAATCCTTTCTCATCCATTCTCCTCTTAGGATTTTTGGGCATGCATGCACATGTGCCCTGCCTGAGTTTTAAGCTGCTGGGCCCGGGACTCAAACCACAGTTGACTCTGTGGGAATCCAGTGACACGTAACCATTATGCTATCTTCTGGTCCTGCTCCAAAAAGGTTGTGATACCACAATTTATCCTCCACTTCAGCCAACCCCAGATCTTGAGCCAGTGCATTCCTGGCATACTCAGGGAGGTTTCTGGATTTGCATCAGGAACCTTCTCATATGGTGTTGCCTCCAGCAGAGTGCTGCACTACTTTCTGGCTCTATCTTTATTAATTAATTAATTAATTCATTCATTCATTTATCTATTTTTAGAGAGAGATTTTTGCTATAGGGTATGTGTGCTCCTCAGAGAGACAGAAAGGTAGAATTCACCTCTCAGGGGGGATGACTACGCTGCAGTCCCTTCTCCAGTTTCCTTTCAGGGTCTTGGGTATGCATGCACATTCACCCAGCATGTTTTAAGCCACTGGGTCCAGGACTTGAACCATGATCAACTACGTGGGAATCCAGCAATGTAACCATTACGCCATCTGCTGGTCCTTCCATCTTTATTAAATCTTAACACTTTTGTAAGAAGCCATGTCTATGAGCTTCACGAGAGATCTTTGTCCCTTGGTCACCACTGAATTTCTGGTGATGTAACACAGTGCCTGGCACAGCTAATATATTGGGTTGTCGGGAAAGTCATGACACATTTTTGCATTAAAAAAAACATAGAAAAATACATCATGACTTTCCTGATGACCTAATATATTAAATGAATGGGGACTAAATAACAGTTTTGGGGTTGGTTAATAGAGGGCACAGTTGATCACAGAGAATAGTTCTAATAGAAGGGAAAGGACCAAGGCCAGTTGGCTGAGCTTCTAAGTGAAGAAGAAATGGAGTGGGAGCGAACCTTATTTGAGAAGTAGTAAGAAAAGTTGAGGAGAGCAGTAGAACCAGTAGGAAGCTATTTCTGCTCATATTCTGACTAGTTCCTTATTCTAACAGTGGATGGTTTATTTCTGCTGTAATAGTTGTACTTGTAAATCCCATTCAGATACTCACTTTGGTTACCTTTCTTTTCTTTACAAATAGGTGACAACATTTTAGCAGTTCTTAAATATTTAGCTACATCTGATATGCTGGCTTCTTCTTCTAAGTATCGACATGGACACATGGTCTTCTTTGATGTGCTTGGCCTGTTCGTCATTGCTTACCCCTCTCGTGTTGGGTCAATAATAAACTGCATGGTGGTCATGGCTGTTGTTTTTTATCTGGGCAGGAAATTATTACAGCCCAGACATAAGAGTAAGTATTTTCCTTTACCGCTGTAAATTCTGGCGTGGGTATAGGATTTGCTTGAAGTTTTTTTAGTCATTTTCCTTATGTGAAGGTGTCATCAGAAAGTTCATGGAAAATATGTATTATGAACAAACCAAGCAGGGAGTTCAGATTTTTTTTTTTGCACCACAATCAATTCCTACTTTAATTCTATTTCTCTGCAGATTTTGTGAAGTCCATTTGTATCTTCCCAGGAAATTAAAAATCTTAAGAAAATAATATTTGAGTTATAGTGGAAGAGATTCTTAAATAAATATTAATATTCTTGTTATACTTTTAATTTTGGTAAAGCAGGCAATTTTAATGTACGTATGCACTTATAGAAGTACCACAGGGAGCTGTTGAAAAATGATTTGTACAGATTGACTTTTAGTGAAAGTTGGGTGAATTCTCTCTATAAGCTAAATGATGTAGAGAAATTGCAGATATATATGTGTGTGTGTATATATATATATATAAAATATATATATATTATGTATATATATGTAAAATATTATAAAAAGTCTAACTACACTACAGACCAATAGAATACTATTCTGAAGTATGAACGAACTGCTTTTGTTTAAATTGGTCTCTTTTTGCTTGAGATATTTCTACTTGAAATGTTTTAGAGTCTTGGGGACCAGCAGTTGACATAATGGCTATGTCGCTGGACTCCCATGTAGTTGACCATGGTTCGAGTCCCAGACTCTGTGGCTTAAACTCATGCCAGGTACCTGTGCGTGAGTGCCCAAGATCCCAAGAGGAGAATGGAGGAGAAAGGATTGCGGCGTGGCCATCCCCCGTGGGGGGTGATTTCTTCGCTTTCTGTCTCTCTGTCTCTCTCTTTCTGGAGAGCACACACATCCTATAGCAAAAACCTCTCCCTCCCCAAAAAAGTTTTAGTCTTACATTGTTATGTGCTATTCCAAGATAGAAATATTTAGCAGCAATTTAAATCATTCTTTATCACCAGTTATTTTTCTCTTGGCCTGGATCTTTCTCTTAGCTTCTTTTGGAAATTTTTTTAAAAATCAGTTAATTTACTTTTTTCCTTTTTGAGAGAGGGGGAGAGAGACAGAAGTTGGTATTTTTGACTGGGTCTCTCTGTGCTGCGGTCCACCTGCCCCAGCATCCCTGTGGTTTAGCACTGCAGGCATGTGCAGCTATGCCTCATGTGTTGAGTTGACCTAGGAATTGAACCTGGGCCTCTCCTGTGCCATCCAGCCTCACAACTGGTAGCATTGCCTGTGTGCCACTGGCTGGGCCTTAGGAAGATTTTATATAGAACTTTGTCTTTGCTAATATTTTGATATACAAAGCATCCCTAAGGTAATAAAGATTTAAACTGCTCACTTTCTTAGGAAGGGGTATATCTGAACTGTTCCTATAATACTTACTTCTTTGAGTCTTTAATATACACAGACTCTCAATAAATGTTACTGGAAATTTTAAAATTTATTTCAAAAGAGAGAGAGAGAGGGACCCCTGACAGGGTCATGCCACACTGAGTTCCCTGAGCCTCTCTTGAGCCACCCGGGAACATGGATTTTCCCAAGAGTGCACTCTTTGTGTTCATGTCAACCTGGGAACCAAACCCAGGGCCTTCTCACATGATTCCAGCATTCCTTAGTGGTGCCCCACTGTTTGTGCCACTGTAGGTGGACCTGAAATTATTCTCTGATACCTTCCCTATTGTTAAACAAACCTCAACCTTGGGACATTTCAGTGCTTTGCAATTCCAGTGTTGCAGTTTTTCTTTTAAAGAAAAATTAACTTGAACATAATGTGATGATTGTAATTTTTATTTTCTCTTTATTAGCTGCTAACTACTCAAAGGACTTCTTGTGTGGACTTGGCATCACTCTGATTAGCTGGTTCACTAGCCTTGTTACTGTCCTCATTATAGCAGTGTTCATCTCACTGATTGGACAGTCTCTCTCATGGTATAACCACTTCTATGTCTCCGTTTGTCTGTATGGAACTGCAGCTGTAGCCAAGATAATATTCATCCATACCCTTGCAAAAAGATTTTACTATGTGGTAAGTGTTAGGCATATTATTTAATTTCTTTTTTGCTGCCTTCAAAGATTGAAGACAAACTCAAGTGGGAGATTCATTGTGTTTTGGCCTTTTGAGCTATCAAAAAGTTGCTCAGCATGGTCACAAAGAATACTCCTGCAACTGTGTTAATTTTCTGGAAGGTTTATTCTGAGAATGCTGTACAATTCAGACACACAGCTGGGCTATAAACTGTTTAGGATGTTGGCAACAGCCAGACTTGGCAGCACCACCCTTTCTGCCTTTGCTGAGTTTACTGCTTTTGTAACTGTGTCCTTGTATCTGCCGCCCCTCCCTGAGTGCCTCCAGTTATTTGTGTTGTCTGAGTCTCTGTGTTCTCCACTGGAATGTAAGGTCCCTGAGGGCAGCGGTCATTCTGTTTATTGCTGTGTTCTCTGTGCACAGCATTGCCTCACACACTGCACTAATCTACTGTAAGTATTTGTTTCCTAAAATAGTGGTGCACTGAAAGTTTTCAGTTTTTCCTTCTTCTGTCTGATGTTGATGTAAATTCTGACAGCATGTATCCGTGGTATCAGGTTAAAGACATGTTGCTAGGGAAACCAGAGGGAAGCAAAACAGGGTTCCAAATGATTTATGCTGGTCTTTAAAGAATGTTGTTACATTGTTACAGTTTCAACCACACAAATTTGGTAACAATAAAATATTAGGCTGGGATCTGCAGTTGGCGTAATGGCTATGTTGCTGGACTCGCATATAGTCAACTGCGGTTTGAATCCCGGACCCGGTGGCTTAAACTCACACTGGGCACGTGTGTGTGCGTGCCCAAGGTCCCGAGAGGAGAATGGAGGAGAAGGGATTGCAGCGTGGCCATCCCCTATAAGGGGTGATTTTTTTGCTTTCTGTCTCTCTGTCGCTCTCTGTCTTTCTGGCAAGTGCACACACCCTATAGCAAAAACATCCCCCCCCAACAACAAAAAGAAGATATTAGGCTTATGAAGTAATAGGACTAAAATGATTTTC